CCTGCCCTTGGGGTCCCAGGTTCTCTCTTCACCATAGCTACCTAGGGGTCATAGTAAACATATTTTTCCATCCAAGCTCACATCCCAGGGTTCCAGTCTTTTCTTGCCTTTGATTCTCATCTAGAGAGAGGAGAAGTTTATTTCTTGCTCATGTAAAACAGTCCAGAGTTGGCAGTTCCATTGTTAGAATAGCTCAGAAGGTCATCAGGGATACACACTTTGTCAATTTTCCTGCTCCATCATTCTCAGTACTTGGCTTCCTCTTCTTGATCCAAAATGTCTGTCTGAGATCCAGCTGTCATGGCATTCTAGCATACAAGCAGAAAGAAAAAGATGAAGAAAGCAACACACTCCCTTCTTAAGACATAGAAGTCATATACAACACTTCCATTTTCATCCCATTGGCCTGAACTTAGTCACATGACCAAACTTAGTGAACAGAAAGCTAGTACTCTGGGTGATCATATGCTCTGCTAAAAATTAGGAATTGTTACTAAACATGAGAGACATAACAAATATTGTAAAACAACTAGCAGATTCTGCCACATCCTCCCAAACAATACTTCAAGCCTGTTTTTCTCTCCTTGTCTTCTATCCTTTCAACTCCTTACTTAGATGGTCCACCATCATCTCAAATTCAGTACTTCTAACACTAAATTTGTCTTCTCCTTTTGACTTCTTTCCACCATAAACTTAATCAGTTTTCTAGTATCTATCAGTTTTCCACTGACACAAGTAGGCACTCAAAATATATTGTTGAACAATTCAATTCTATTAGATGCCTCCTTATTCCTTGCCTTTCTTTGTGTTATCTCTCAAATTCAGCCCTTCCTTCCCATTCCCGTTATCATCCCCTTATTCATGCCCAGATGGCTACAATAGCTTCCAAAATGGTCTCTCAAGCCCACTTCTCCTGCCACTTATTCTTTCTGCACATCATTACTACATTCCTATGACCCTAAAACATCATTTTAATCTTTATCTTCAAAAACTTTAATAGCTCCCCTCTGCCTGTGGTGTAGACCTGAAACTCAAGGCTGTCCCAAATCCAAACCTAATTTATATCTTCAGCCTTAACTCTCTCTACTCTGCTACACAAATCTATACTCATTCAACCTACATTACATATTCTCCTGCTTTTAAACTTTTATTCAGGACACGAGGACTGAAGACACCCATCCTTTCCCCTTCTATCCAGGAAAATTCTATTTGCTCTTCAAAGTCCTCTACATATTCTACTTTGTCCAGGAAGTTTTCTCTAACCACCAGAGCTCAAAGTGATCTCTCTTTTCTTTGAATTCCTACTGCAATCACTATCTCTACCATTCACTGGAATTTATCATTCACTACCTCATATTGCAAAGGAGAGTTATGTATATGTGTGTGTCTTATTTCCCTAACCAGATATGAAATTCCTTTAAAAGGCAGGGATTTGTCTTGGTCATAGACTTGCATAGTGCATTTCATGGTAAATCCTCAAGACATTTTTGTGCCACAAGTTCTCTGTGAAACTGAGTTTTCCTAAGGTCCCCTCCAACACAAATATAATGTTTGAATCCCTTCAGCACCTAGAAAAGTAACTATTGGGGTTGGTTGATATAGAGATTCTTTTTTTTAAATCTGAAGTCTTTAAGAAAAGAATAAAGTCCGCAAAGTGGAGTGGTACCTAAAAGTATCCCTCTGGGCTTTACTTGAATTACCCATTAATAATGGCTTTTCATACATTCTTCAGTATATTCCTGGTGTCGCCAAGGCCATCATAGAGATGGACTAGAGAAGCCCTAAAGGGCATGTACCAATTCTTAAGATGATGGATGGGGCCGGCTCCGTGGCTTAGCGGTTAAGTGTGCGCGCTCTGATGCTGGCGGCCCAGGTTCGGGTTCCGGGCACGCCCCAAGGCACCACTTCTCCGTCCAACCCGAGGCCGAGTCCCACGTATAGCAACTAGAAGGAGGCGAACCTATGACATACAACTATCTACTGGGGCTTTGGGGGGAAAAAATGAATAAATAAAATCTTTAAAAAAAAAAAAAAAGATGATGGATGATTCTCATCCTCATCATTATCATTATCAACCTCAGAAATGACTAACATTTATTTTGCCTTGGTGGTTAACAAAGCATTTCCACTCATACTATATAATTTGTTGATCACTAGGGAGATACAGCAAATTTTATAGTTATTATTTCCATTATATGGATGAAAAAACTGAGACTCAGAAAGGTTTTATGACATTATTAAGATTTCCCAGCTCATAAGTAGAAATACTAGCACCTACGTCTTCAGCCTCCCTGTCTTTCCACTACATGCTATGGTTTTACAGCTGCCTCTCTCAGACCACAGTTGGAGTGTTGTGGGGGGCAGAATCTTATGCCTGTGCAAGCCCTCTGCCTTTTCTCAGCAGGCCCAGCATTCTCATCAACAACACCAGCAGCACAAAGAGAAGCAAGACTTCCCCCAGCTTCACCTATCTGCCACCCCCACTGCTTCATACCCTTTGATACCCCAGCATCATTTCCTGAATGACTTGCTAAGGAGATAAAGTATACTTCAAACACAGCATCACACACCAACCATTTGTGGTTGTGCAACTGCCCTAAAACTAAGCAGGTCTCAGCCTTAGCAGACTGCCTACACACTTCCTGGAGTTTAATGAGAGAACCCACAAGAATTACAAGTCTATGGAGCCTACCTATTATCCATGATCTCACACTTAACCTGACTCCAAAGAGCAGAATGACAGTTAGGAGCTAGGGCCTGATGTCAAAAAAGCCGTAAGAGATGTGGGACCAGCTATAGAGTTTGCAGAACCCAGTACAATATGAAAATGTGGGGCCGCTTGTTCAAATAATATTAAGAATTTCCTGGTGGCACAGCAGCATTAAACCAAGTTCAGCATCTCTCCTAGCTCAAGGCTCTGTGCAACTGCACAGGTCACATGCTTATGTCTAGGACATAAAGGGATTCAGGCTGGGAAACTCCAAGTGTCCCTCTAACAGACCTCAGCAACCCAGTGGAACACATTATCTGGGGAGAATTAATGTTCAAGGAAACAGATTTTGTAAACTGTGACTCCTGCCACTGAAGGCAACTTTAGTCTCTCCTAGGTCCCCCCAATGATTTTTTCCTTTTGCTCTTACCTTTTAGCACTCATCGCATTGTATTATTTTTCACTTGTACACACATCTGTGTTATTCTCTGGGCTGCGAGCTCCTCAGGACCACAACCATACCCTATTCATCCCTGAATAATAGTGCTGTTATTTAGCACTTAATAAATGTTTGTAGATAAGGGCCTTTAGTTTTCCCCTTCCCCCCAGGGCCCTGTTACATCTCCTTCTGTACTTAGCCCACCCCTACTAAGTCATCAGGGCTTGCCTGGGATATTCCTCCTAAGGGAAAATCTTAGTTGATCTGAAAGGAAAAAGGTTTATATTAGCGGTCCCTGGGCTCTTTCAGGAGTTCCTGGGCTGGAAGGGTGCCATAGTGAGACAGCACCATGAGGATAAGAAGTCCCTTTGCTCTTCTGACACTTCAAAATAACTTGTATTCTCAATGACCTTTATTCTTGCCCTCTGTATGCCAAGCTCTGGATAAACTTGAGGGTCAACCCCAACCCACTCATGTGGAAACTTATGTTCTGCTCTTTGGGGGAACATTCAGCCAATACTCTTCAGAAAAGCCCAATAATTGCTTATGGCTGATGCCTTTTCTGACTGGCCAGTAGTTGTGGCTATTGGTTATTAAATATTTTGAATATCATCTACACTGGCTCGAAATACTCTTTCACACTAAATAGAGATCAGTGAGCATAACAGAGTAAAGAAAGAAGAGAAGGAAGAGGAGAAAATAACACCTTATGATTATATTGCCTTTCGTTTTATAAACTGCGTACTAAACAGACTTATCTTCATAAGGTGATGGAGGAGAAGAGAAGAAGAAAATAAAACTTTCATTTTTTCCCGTGTTAGATTTTAAAAGCACTCATACTTCAACTCTTACGAGAAAGCGTTCTTGGATTCCCAGAACAGATCGAGTCCCCTTGCTATTCTCTCTCAAAGCACTAATACTTACATATTTTGTACCTAATCGTTCGTAGTTATCTGATCAACACTGGTTTCTTTCTTTAACTGTTAAGTTCCAGAGAGAAGGAACTATATCTATTTTTATTCACCATTGCTTCCCCAGCTCCTTACACCATGCTTAAAAGAATAGATGCTCAACAAACATTTGTTTTACAAGTTGAATTAATACATACCTGCCATAGTGTCTGGAACAAAGCTGACCCTGAATAAATAATGTGCTTCCGTCCATAAATGTATGAATGAATAAACTAACTTTGCTTACTTCGGAAGTTGTTCCAAAAGATTCTAGGCAACCCATAACTGAATTCCATTTATCAATTCATTCCACAGATATTTACTAAGCACCCACTATGTGTCAGGTATTCTTCTAGAGACTGGGGATATGGTGGTGAACAAAAAAGACCCCCTCAAATCACCAACTTGGAGAATATTTACTCCACGGAGTCAAGCACTCTCTGCCTACGTCTTCCAGGAAGAAAGGCATAAATGTGACTCTCTTTTTGCAAAGACTGCAGTAGCCATCCCAGGCTCTTGTCCCAGCTCTTCTATCACTTGGCAACGACTTTGGGAAAGAAAGACGTTTAACATCTTGAACCTCATGCAGGTGTATGGTCTTCATCTCTCAAATCCCTTCTAGCTCTCAGAGTCGCTAAGTCTAGATAAACATGTTTTTAATGAGATAGATCCCTTGAAATTCACTGGGAAACTTAGTTTCTAAGTAATAATCCTTTTGAAAAATTAGCCATCTAACATATTAAATACACCTAGAGCAAAATGCTTAAACAAAAAAGGCATCCTCAAGAAACTGTATGAGCTGTGTCTATTTGGCACCTCCTTAGGGAGACTCAGGCCTGGGGAGACAGGGAACTCTAAAAGGTTCAACAGTCAAATGGCTACGGTCTTCTTATGTCCTCAGGTCTGGAAGCAGCTGGAAGCGACATAGACATCCTCACAGTGAATGGGATTCTGGGGGAATCAGTTACTTTTCCCTTAAATATCCAAGAACCACAGCAAGTTGTCAGCATTGCTTGGAATTCCAAAACATCCGTTGCTTTTGTAGTACCAGGAAATTCAAGAACAGCACCCACAGTTACAGTGACCCACCAAAATTATTATGAACGAATAAATGTCTCAGCTCAGAACTACAACCTGGAGATCAGCAATCTGAGGATGGAAGATGCAGGGACCTACAAAGCCGACATAAATATAAATACCCCTGAAACAAAGGTCACCACCATCACCAGGCACTACAACCTTCAAGTCTATCGTAAGTTGTGGGAAGACAGAGGGTTTGTTTTTCATTTTTACTTTGCAAATTTGCTATCTAAAGAACACCTGTATTTCTGACAATTGGGTTCCCTAAATCTTTTTATATTTACAAATACTTATATAAATATACCAGTACTTATAAAAAAGGATGTGGCTTTGCTTGTTTTTTAGCTATGTAATCTCCCTTTAGCAGTTTGTCCCCTGAGCCTTGTTTTTCTTTTCTATAAAATGGGAATAATCATATTATTCACTTCCCATAGTTATTGTGAGGATCAAGTAAGATAGGGTATGCAAAGAACTTAAAAATTTTTTTGTTTAATTTGAAATGATTACAGATACATAGAAAGGTGTGAAGAAATGTACAGGGAGGTTCTGTGCCCACTTCAGCCAGCCTTTCCCAGTGGTAACATCTTACGTGACTGTAGGACAATATCAAACCAAGAAATTGACATTGGTACCATCCGTAGAGCTTATTTAGATTCCACCAGTTAGACAGGCACTCATTTATGTGTTAGAATGTGTGTCGCTCTGTACCACTTGTTCACATATGTAACTTCATGTAACCACCACCACAATCAAGATATTTAACTGCACCATCACCATGAGATTCCTTCATCCATTATAGTCACCCATCACTGCCCCTTTCCCTTTCAAAACTCCTGGAAGACATCAATCCATTCTTCACATCTGTTATTATGTTATTTCACAAGTATTACCTAGATAGAATCAGGCAGTATGCATGCTTTAGAGACTGGCTTTATTCACTCAGTGGAATTTCTTTGAGAGTCATCCTAATTATTCCAAGTATCAATAGTTTATATCTTTTTATTGCTAGATAGTATTCCATGGCATAGGTACACTAATTTGTTTAACTATTCACCTACTGAGGAGTATTTTAGTTGTTTCCAGTTTGGGGCAATTACTAATAAATCTGCTATGAACACTCATGTACAAGTTTCTGCATGAAATAACTGTTTGTTTCTCTGAGATAAATGCCCAAGAATGAAATCATACAGTAAATCCATTTTTCTTTTTTTTATTGTGATAAAATATACATAACATAACATTTAACATTTTAATCATTTTTAAGTGTGCAGTTCAGTGGCATTAAGCACATTCACATCACTGTGCAATCATCCCCACTGTCCATCTCCAGAACTTTTTTTCCCTTTTAAATAGATTCTATTTTTCAGAGCAGTTTAAGGTTCATAGAAAAATTGAGTAGAAAGTACAGGGAGTTCCCATAAGCACGCTGCCCCCACACACATGCATAGCCTCCTCTATTATAAACATCCCCCATCAGAGGGGCACATTTGTTACAATTGATAATGTACATTGATGCGTCATTATCACCCAGAGTCCATAGTTTACCTTAGGGTTCACTCTTGGAGTTGTACATTCTATGGGTTTTGACAAATATATAATGACATGTATCCACCATTATAGTATCATACAAAATAGTTTCATTGTCCTAAAAACCCTCTGTGCTCTGCTTATTCATCCCTCCCTCCCCCTAGCTCCTGGTAACCACTGATCTTTCTGCTGTCTCCATGGTTTTTGCCTTTTTCAGAATGTCATGTATTTGGAATCACACATTATTTAGCCCTCTCAGATTGGCTTCTTCCACTTAGTAATATGCAGTTAAGTTAGCTCTATGTCTTTTCATGGCTTGATAGCTCTCTCTAGAACTTTTATTTATTTATTTTTTCCCTCCAAAGCCCCAGTAGATAGTTGTGTGTCATAGCTGCACATCCTTCTAGTTGCTGCATGTGGGACGCGGCCTCAGCATGGCCGGAGAAGCAGCGCGTCGGTGCGAGCCCGGGATCCGAACCCGGGTCGCCAGCAGTGGAGCGCGCTCACTTAACCACCAAGCCACGGGGCCGGCCCTCTCTCTAGAACTTTTGAGAGTCATTTTTAGTTGTAAAAGAATTGCCAAACTATTTTACATTCCCACCAGCAGTATATGAGTGACCCAGTTTCTCCACATCCTCACCAGTATTTAGTGTTATCACTATTTTTTATTTTGGCCATTCTGAGGGGTGTGTAGAAACACCTTATTTTGGTTTTAATTTGAATTTCTCTAGTAGCTAATGCAAAGTGCTTTTAAAAGGTAAAATATTAGAACTATTATTATCATTAAAATTGCCACAATTCTCTGGGAGATGTGTGTGGTGTTACAAAATGCTATTCAAAGCGTGGTCTGTGCACTGGCAGCATCAGCATGACCCAGAAACTAGTTGGAAATGCAGATTCTCAGGCCACACCCCTTACCTTTGGTGGTGAAGCCCGGGAATCTGTGTTTTAACACTCTCTCTGGATTATTCCTATGTGTGCTAAAGTTTGAGAAGCACTGATCTAGAACTTCCCTGCCCAATACAGTAGCCACTAGCCACATATGGCTCTTGAATATTTGAAACATAGTCCAAATTGAGATGTACCATACATGTAAAATACACACTAGATTTTGAGGTCTTAGCACACATAAAAAAACATAAAATACCCCATTAATAATTTTTATATTGGTTACAGGTTAAGATAACATTTTGGATATATTGGGCTAAATAAAATATATTACTAAAATTAATATCACCTGTTTATTTTTACTATTTTTAATGTGGTTATTAGAAAAAGTCAAATTACATGATTCACATTTTCCTCCATTGGGCAGCACTAATTTGTAGTATAGAGAATATTTGAGCCATGTCTCAAGGACTTCACTATCCATTTGCCCACAGCAGAAAAATACAGAAATCTGACTAATCCATGTTGTATTAGTTAGAATTCAGGTATATAGTTACTCTACTCAAATTCAAGTTCCATAAAGACAAAGACTTCGTATTTGAAGTTCATCACTGTATCCCCTGCACCTACATTGTCAGGCACACGGTGGGTGCTTCAGAAGTATTTGTTGAATGGAAGAATGAATGAATTATAATAGTCTACAGTCTTAACACTGTGCCTGACAATTGAAACTGCCCAATGAATATAGCGTGACTGAATCAGGCTGTATCTGGTTGGAAGGCATAGTGGAAAGAGCATTAATGTTGGAATTTGACCTCTTGCCAGCTGTGTGGCATTGGGCAAGTTGTTTAGCCTCTCTGCACCTAAGTTTCCTCATCTATAGAATGTAGATTATAATAGGTGGGATTAAATGAGAGATAGTGTTAGTTGAACTCCTAGTTCAGCGCATGCCTTAAAGTAGATGCTCAATAACTAGTAGTCATTATTAACTTTTTAACCCTTAGCCCCATTTTAAATTCTAGTTATAAAGGATTTCCTAGATGAAGAAGGCTCTGAATTGGGCATGAGTGAGATAGCCAAAGAACCATACCCAAGTGTGGACACTTTAGAAAATATTTGACTCATTCAAGAACTTTGATTGAGAAAACAAAGAAGTCGTTCAGTTTTAAGGTGTTTGTTTTCATCCATTTATATGTTTACTTTTACCCACTGGATCTTTGGGAGGTGTTGTGCCATCTGCAATTAGGGCAGACTGTGTAAAGTCTCAGAGAAAGCCGTACTGCCCATACAACAAATCTGTCCCTTCAGAGGAGGTAACTGAGAAGATACAGAGAAGGGAACTGACATTTATTGAACACTCTCCCTGTGTCTGGAATTCTACCACCGAACTTTTAAAAACATATAAAAATTATACATATTTAGACAATATATGCACCATTAAAGCAAAAGGTAATACTACAGTGAAATGCAACTCTCCCTTCTCAGAGGAGGTGACAGTTGCCAGTTTATTTTGTCTCCTCCATAGACGATTAATGTACATACAAGCATAGATGGATAATAGACAGATAGGTAGGTAGATAGATAGATAAATAGACAGATAGATAGATAGGTAATAGACATATGAGTATATAGATAGATAGACAGATAGACAAATACATAGATGGATAGATAGATGAATAGACAGACAGACAGGTGGATATTAGAGTGGTCTTTATATACAATAGCTCATTTAATCCTCACATCAACCATAGCAGGAGAAAATTGTTATCCTTGTGTCATAATTGAGGGAACTGAAGCCCAGTGATGCTGTATCCCTGCTCCACCATTCCACAGTTAGAGAGTAGTGGATCCTGAAGTCTGAACCCGGCCTCCAATGGCTTCCACTCTCCGATTTGGGTGGAGGAAGGCCTGTCAGCCACAACTCTGATCTTCTCTGCCCAGCAGCTTTGTGCAGGTATCATCTGTTCCTGCAGGGAAAAATGAGATGTGATCCTATTCTTCACCACTATCCCCTACCTCAACACCCACCAAAAAGAAAACTACTGAACAGAGACTTTAACATTCTTGTAAATCAAATTTCTAAAGAAATGCATACACACACACACACACACAATTTGGTTCATTTTTCGCTATATATGTCTGTATCTATCAGTGTTACAGTTAATCAAGGTCTACTCCAAACTTCTTAAGTTTTTTTGCCAAGTAATCACTAATTCTAATCTGGAATAGATCCCTCTACGAGACTCCTAGGACCAGGGTTTCTGCTTAGGCTGGAATCAAAAACCTTTACAGCATCTTACTTAGCGTGTTCTACTCCATCACAAGTACAGACAAATGGTTCCTATATTTACATTCCTAAATATATTGCCTTTATAGACTCCACATTAATTACAAAGTTACATGCCAATTCCTTCTGCCTCCTCTATTCCCCTCCTCACACGGCTATCGTGAAAGGAACAAACCCCATCACAGCAGCCCTGTCAAGAATGGACTAGATTTATCAACTCTGAATGGGGTCATTTTCGTATTTCCTGGTAAAGAAAAGAATGTCCCTTTCCTTCTGCCAGCTCCAGATCTAGCTACAGTATTACCTCAACTTAAATATAGTTGTTCTTTGGTAATCTTTTACTAGCCTATAACTTTTAAAACTTACCTTTGGATTGCTTTAGTACAAACATTTCTTAAAATGAACTTTTAAAGAGATTTTTAACTTTCATCAGGGGCACTTCAAAACAAAACAAAAAACTTAAAGAAAACACACATACACCAGAAAACAGCACCAAAAACGTATTCTTAAAGATGGTTTCATGCAGTGTACATGCATACACACACCCATAAATATCAGGACTTCCTTGTTCATCAACGATGTGAGCAACTTTGTTGAACTGGATAACAGTATTGAAATAGTGGGAGAATATTTCCTAGTTGTTTTGTGTTATTCACAGTATAATGGCTACAGACAGGATGCACTTTTAACTTTAATCTGCTTTAGTCGCCTTTCTTCCATTGCTTTCTTATGTCTAAAGTGATAATCAACAAAGTAGTCAATCAAGCCCTAGTTTGTAGCATTTGCCAATACTTATGGTGTGAAAACTCCCACTGTGGCTGATTTTAAGACAAGCAGAGTTGGGAAGACTTTGTACATCATCACAAAGGACAGATATAAAAGACGTGAATAACTTCTAGAGCATAGAAAATAGTAAATTGTCAAAAAAAAAAAGGGAAGTGATGAGTTTTGAGTATTTCTTAGCTTTGTTATCAAAATAATTTATTTTATTGTAATTTTTTATACTTTAATTTTTCATGATGGCCGTATTTTAACAACTGTCTTGAAAATTTTCTGGAAAGTTAACAGTTGGCTCTCACAAGCTCCAGCTTGCCACTGGCTCATGTGTTTTCCCCTCACAGGTCGGCTTGGGAAGCCAAAAATTACCCAGAGTTTAATGACATCTGTGAACAGCACCTGTAATGTCACACTGACGTGCTCTGTGGAGAAAGAAGAAAAGAATGTGACATACAGTTGGAGTCCCCTGGGGGAAGAGGGTAATGTCCTTCGAATCTTCAGGACACCTGACAACCAAGAGCTGACTTACACATGCACAGCCTGGAACCCTGTCAGCAACAATTCTGACTCCATCTCTTCCCGGCAGCTCTGTACAGGTAACCAGCTCTGTCCATCCCTCCCGGAGTCTCAGAATCACTCGGAAGAGCTTCAAGGTCTGACTTTGAGCCTCGTTCCCTGGGGAATGTGCCTCCCTTATGCCAGGCCTGGTCCCCAGGGGCATCTCCTCCCACGAAGCCCTGGAAAAGAGTCCAAAGCCTTCTGAGAGATGCCAGGCATTTCAGGGTGTTCTGGGGCAGCCCCTGCTCGGATTTCTGATTCAGTTTCTAATCCTGACTTTTACTAGCAGAAAGTAGAGTTTCCCGCAGAGCTTTGGCACTACCCTGGAGGGCACCCGACTTGGATAGTGCCCCTGAATGTAGACAAGGCTGCCCAGCCTCTGGGGCTTATTTCCCAAGAGTTAAGTCTCACCCCATTTTTCATTTCCAGACATCACAATAGGCCTCCGTACTCGCCACACTGGGCTGCTGAGTGGGCTGGCTGTGCTATCTCTGTTTATACTCATTCTACCTTCAGTGCTTTTATACCTTTTGTGCAAGAGAAGACAAGGTAGGATTTTCCCAAAAGGTAAAACATGGAAATGCACCTTCTTATTCCGAGGACTGAAGTCATTTATCTGAGGTGGTGTGGAGAGGTTCTTTGTTCCAGGGAATGAGCCTTCCTACAATCCCCACCCCACCACCACACCATCCCCTGAATGATGGCTCCAGGGACTGTATGACGTTACCCTGAATGGTCTTCAGAATCTGTTCTGGGATCACTAGTATCTGGTGCGCCTCGAACTCGGGTTTGAGTTTAGTGCCGCCATTAACAAGCTGTGCTTTATTGAACACATGTCTTTACCTCTCTGGCCCAGTGTTTTCACATGTAAAGTGAGGTTTGGACTAGAGGGTTTCCAGGGTCACTTCCAACTACATTGTATTTTGACTAGGACTTTTGGAGAGTCATTGAGGGACATGTGCTAATTTTGTACTCCATGGTTGTCACTAGATCCCTCTGGACCCTGAGATAATTGTGCCATTCTCAATTCAGAAAACCTGATCTTAGGCCCCTAGGAGATCATTACATCCTCCTATTCCTACTAACCGCATGTCCACCCAAATCTTCCTTTCCCACCAATCATAATAACAAGCCTGGATGTAGAGAGGCTCTACTTCTGCTTCCATGTTCCTGACTCTCTTTTGGGTCTGATTCCTCAGGTTCCTACTTGAAGACCTTCAGTAAGAACCCTGGTAAGTTCTCAGCCACAAGTTTCCCTGGATGACAACTGGGAGAGATGAGATCACAGCAGAGTGTGCTTAAGACTAAGCTTGTGCTTTGCAGGCAGTCTGGGCGAAGGTCCCAGCTTGACCGTTTGTCACCTACCAGTTATTTTATTACTGTAAGTCTGTTTACTCAGTTGTAAAATATGTATAATAATAGGGTGTGCTGCATATTCTTATTAAATGGACTAAATGGAATTACATATATAAAATATTGGCCCAGTGCCTGGTACATAGTAAGTACTCAGTAAATGTCAGCTACTACACTTGTGATTGATGGGCTTGGGCTTGGCACAGAAGGAGGCATTCTAGAGGGAGAGAGTTTGTGACACTAACTGTAACTCAAATGGCCTCATGATAGGAAGAAGTCGCACAACTTGCTCAGGCCTGATCTTCAGGGTTTCTCACAGATACATGTGTCTTCAGTCCCTCACAGCCTCTTGAGAAGAAAGAAGGGCTTCTTTTTTCACCTACAAATGAGATAAGCGCGAGCATTTAATCTGGCTTACTCGCCAAGTCTGGGGCAGCGGTCAGGACAGGACAGAACTCTGAGACTTGGGATCCCTGTGATATTGCTCAATTCAGACCTGTTATTTGTGAATACGTTGGTGCCCTGGAATATGAAGGCCCAAAATTCTGGCTCTCTCTTTTCCACTTGATCCTAAAATGTTCCATGTTAGGAGCAAAGAAAAGGAGTACTCTGCAATGCGTGCCTTTCCCAGCCTGTGAATTCTTAAAACTTCTCTCTCCTGTCTTTGCTTCTCCGTGGCCTCACACAGAGCCTGGCACATAGAGGGAGCTTAACACATGTTTGCGCAAATCAATCAAGCAAAAAATGTTTGTGGAGCATCTACTATCTGCTTGACATTGAGGAAGTAACAGGAAGGTCTGCACCAGAAGAACCCAACACGGTGTATAACTGGAGAGAATCATCTAGCTGAAAAACTACAACACTCCATGAAAAGACATCTAGCCATGCAGGCAGTCAGTGCTGGGTGCCAGAGACACTAATTAAGACACTGGTGGAAGAGCTACTGTGACTGCCCAGACAGGGATTGGGGAGAATCTCTTTAGCTTAATGTGGACTCTAGAGTAGAAACGAATTCCCTCTGAGCTCTGGATGAGGCTGAAGGCAGGTGCCTCCCATTCCACATGCCATCCCTAGAAAAGGGAGAGACATGCCAAGGATCCAAGTGGATGGGAGCCATTTAACCTCTTAGGGCTTCATTTCCTTGTCTTAAAAAGAGAACATTAGAATAGATTATCTCTAAAAATGCATCCACCTTTCAAATACTGTGGTTTTATGTTTATTTGTACCACAGATGCTGTCTCAAAGAACACAATATACACATACATCACAGTTTCAAGAGATGCCCGGCCAGCAGAGTTCAGAATCTATGACGAAATCCCCCAGTCCATGGTGAGATGATGCTACTTATGGATCCCCACCTCCACCCCCAGGACAGGGAGTCATGGTCAGCAGGCATCTGCTTCCTGTTGCCTAGACAGCAGCCACAGCCAAGAATCTAGAGGGTCCCACTAGGAGATATCATGTCAGGGAAATGATGCCTTGAGTCTCTCTATGAGGACAGGAATGTGGCCAATTGTCACTCCATGGCAGCCTCCAGGGGTTAAGGCCCTAAGCTTCCACATGGGGGTCTGGCTCTGGGTTGGATAAGAGTCATGACTAGGAGTGAAGCACCTTCTACAAGGACAAACAACAAGGGAGCCCCTAGTGTGAGGTGAGGTCTGTTATGTGGCCACAGACAAGTGAACAGGTTGCTAACAGGGTCACAGAACTGAGAAAGGTCCCCTAGAATGTGACTTCCTTGTCTGGCTGCAGCAGCAGCTTGCTTTCCTCAGGCTCAGAGTCACTCTGTCCCACACCCTCTCCTCCCACCTGCCTTTTACCTGCTTGCCCCTCCATCACCTCCACCCTGGATCAGGCTTCTTCATGGTATTGCCTTCCTCTGTGCCTCCACCAGCCTGCTCCTCAGAAACTGAGGTGTCAATCTAGCACTGTGCTTGGACTGATGAAACGGCTAGGTCCATAGAGCCCACGGAAAGCTAAAAGTCTGATTGAACGACACAGACCCCTCCTCTTGACTCCTGAGGTTTCTGCCCAACTGCTACCCACCCTCCTTCCCACACCCTCACCTAACCCTGATCCTCTGCAAAGCTGGATGGGACCAGAGCGGAGCCCAGGAGAGGAGGCCACCTAGTGAAAGTGGGACCAGGGAGGGTGATGGTCAGGGGCAGAAGTAGGAAAGGGGACTCATAAGGTTTTGCCTGGGCTCCCTCACTGAGGGGAAAATGGGTGTTTTACAGGTCCTCCCCGCCAAGGAGGAGCCAGTGAACACAATTTATTCCATAGTGCAATACTCTGATAAGGTAAATCCCTTCTGACTTTTTATCCCCGTTGTCTCATCTGTTACAGCCATTCTGCTCTATGCTGTCCATCCAACTAGGGGCCAGCTGGTTCCCTTGGACTCATCTCTGTACTTCTCAGGACTAACTGCTGAGGTCTTTGGGCTGTAGGTACTTCCACACATGCACCAAGCCCTGCTCTGCAGGTCTATGACCATCCACAAGCTGGCCTGCTTGGGTTGTTGATGCCACTCTTTAAATGCAGGAGCCCCTAGGCCTCTGAACTACAGTGAAAACCCCAGCCTCTATAATACCCAGAGCCACTACTAGCTCATAGTGTGAAAATTGGAGAATTGGCACCCTTCCCCCACCCTTGGCAGACACAGGCCCATACCAGGTGCACAGAATGGATAGTAGAACACAAGCTGAATTTCAGTTCCCATTTTCTCCCTCAGCTGACTTTCACAGTATACAACCTGCACAACCATTTGCAGGGGTCTAATGGCACTCACAGTTCCCTGTGCCTCAGTGTCCTTCTCTGGAATATGCAAAGAGGGAAGGTAAGTCCTGTCCTTCGACAGGACTTTCAGTTTGGGGGAGCTTGTGGGGGGTTGTCACTGTCTGAGGGTCCTCATTTCTACCACAGTCAGAAGGATAGCTTTGGGGTCTCTTGGTGAATCAAATGTTTTTAAAGTGTTCCTGTTTAATAGCTGAGCTAATAGGCAGGAAACTAATCACAAGAGATAAATTTGTACCTAGGAGTCCGGGGGAAAGGGAAATAATGATAACATGAATAGTGGGAGGAATTATTGGGAATTTGAAATGGAATGCAAACGAATCCATGACTGAGAACTAAGAGCTGATTCTCTAAAGCATCTGTGAGCTGCGCAAGCTACTTCCTTTGTAAGGGGACTTAATCCACAGGTCAGTTTGAATGTAAAGATAAGCCAAGTGTCCCAGAGAATGAGACAGTAGAACCTTTACTTCCTCAGTGATCAGGAGAGGGAAGGAGGGAGAAGGAAAAGAAGGAGGTGCATGAGGAAAGAAGAGGAGAAGGATGAAAGGAAGGGAGGAGCAAGAAGTGAGAGGCAGGGTCCCACATGTTTGAGCCAGGATCTGAAGGAAAGTGGGAGGAAACAGAGAAGGAGATAAAATTGGAAAGGACTCGATTTGAGGGATTAATCAGGGAGTCCTGGATTGAGACATCTCAAAGTAAATTCTCTAGACATGTTGGACGACAGTTATTAATTGGTCAGTATGTAATTTGAACTAAAGACTCCTCAAGCCAGTGGGAAGGTTGTCTGCAGTACTCTAAATAACTAGAGCTCGTGAGACACTAGTGGGGGTGACTCACCAATGTCTATGGGAAGGTGCAGTTATTGGAGTACAGAAGGAACTAGGGCTCAACTAGGAACAAGGAAGGCGGGTAGCTTGAACCTGGATGTTGCCTGAAGCCTATAATCAAAATCAATGCAAATATCCCCATTCCCTCCTGCTGCTTTTTTCTGGGCTAAGAAGTTGATTACCCGAGGGCTTGCAAATGGGGTGGCTAGAGCAGAGGCCAGGGACTCAGCAAAAAGCAAGGCTCTGCTACCCTAGATTTCCCCAGCACCACGGAAATCTAAGGCATCTCCCTGTGCCATTTGCAGAACTCTCTTGGGTACCTCATGGGACTGGAATTCCCCAGTAGCAACTTTCAGTTAACATGTCCTCTGTCTCCCTCTTGTGCACAGATGGAGAAAACCAGCACTCAGGACAGGAAACATCCTGGGACTTCAAGCTATGAAATTGTGGTCTAGGCTCCCGGTCAGCATTCTCCCTATGGAACAGCTACAACCATAAATAGTGGCAGATGCCCCAGACACAGATTTTCTCTGCCCAGAGCTTACCTGGAGATTGCAAATCACCACATCCCAACATGTAGGCAAAGCAGGAAGCCCTCTGCTGCTGGGCATAGCTTGTGCCTAGACAGACAAATGGACACATGCCCTTTCTGAAATGGCTCCCTCCTGGATGAACAACAAGGCAAGTCCCCTGGCACAGTGCTTCCCAATCTTCTTCACATCACAGGACATGTAGAAAATAATAATTTTACAGCACAATGGAGTAAACAAACAAGATTGCTCATGAGTAGAGGCTACCTGTGGCTAGAGGCTTCATGGGACTGGAGGTGATGACCCTTCCCAACAAGCCCATATGTGGAGAGGATCAATATTTTGCACACCTGTAATAGGCCATGGCACACTACCTAGGATGCTCTGCTCACACTCAGTATATGTGAGGAGCCCTAGTGCACGACCTCCACCAGTCCACATAGCACCTTGGGCAAATTAGACAAAAGCACCCTTTCCCTGGTGCAGAGGCAGGCCCTCGCCCAAGCGCATGGCTTGGCGAGTAGAGTGTAGGCTGCGTTTCAGCCTGTACTTGCCCCTTTGCCCGGGCACCCTTGTGCAGGGTACGACTGGCTGGACCAACCCAACCGCACATGACGGTGTCACGTGAGAAGCCATCAGGGTTGTGTTGCAAATGGATAGTTGCAAAATGCTCTTTCTCTAGGGACTAGACTGCTGGGGCATTTTTCTTCAGGCTCTTCTTCAGAAGCCTCATAACATTTTCTTTCCGGCCAACCTTTCATTCTGCATCACTCTGCGATGGTTAATTTTATGTGTCAATTTCATTGGGCCATGAGGTTCCCAGATATTTGGCTAAACGTTATTCAGGATATATATGTGAAGGTGTTTCTGGATGAGATTAACGTTTGAATTAGTAGAGTCAGTAAAGCAGATTAATCCTGCCCTCCAGTGTGGGCGGCCATCACCAAATCCATTGAAAGCCTGAGTAGAAATGAAGGCAGAGTAAGAGAGAATTCATTCTCTCTCTCTTTTTGACTGTCTTCAAGCTGGAACACAGGTCTTCTCCTACCTGAGGACTCGGATGTGGACTGGAACTTACACATTAGCTCTCCTGGTTTTCAGGCCATTGGACTCAGATTGGAACGATACCATCACCTCTCCAGCTTGCCAACTGCAGATATTGGGATTTCTCAGTCTCCATAACCATATGAACCAATTCCTTATTTCATATATATATATATTTCCTATTGGTTCTGTTTCTCTGCAGAACCAGACTCATACACACTCCAAGCAGCCTCAGCAAGAAGACGAAGCCATACACAGCACCCACATTCTCCAAAAGGAATTGACCAGCTATATTTCTGGCACTTTAGAGGAACTGTGTGTAACTCAACCATCAAAACAAAAGACCTTAAAGGAAGCAGAGGCATTCTCCAGAGGGAACTTGGGAGATGAAGTTGTAGGTGATGAAACTGGCTTCACCCCAGTTCCTAGGGCTCAACCCAGAGAGTCATGGAGTTCAAGTGAGGTTAGGTGCTCCACTCCATCCGCCTGCCAGCACAGAGGAGGAATCATCCACAGCTGAGCAGAACATTCAAGTGAGCATTTTAAGAATCGTTTCCCTTATGTGTTAGCAAATGTAACCAGCTAAATCCTAAATCCCCATTAGCTATCTCAGACTGGATAGCAGAAATAAACTGCATTTAAGCAGAATCAAGGGGCTAGTCCCAGTGAATGGGTCCATAGAACCATCTATCCCTGACCACCATTAGGACTGTGTTGGGGGCTGCAAAGCCCCCAAAGTATAAGATGAACATAATGTCTGCCCTGGTCTGGCTGAGGAACCAATTCCAGCACAGACACCACAGTTAAATGCTGAAATATATGCTGCGAAGAGTGGCATGGGCTAGGACATTCAGAAAAGACCTTACAGGGAAGGTGGGGCTGAAGCTGGGCCTTGAAAGCTAGATGGGGTTTGGCAGAGAATGAAGAAGGAGACAGAAGGCGTTCACGTGAGGAAAGAATGAAGAAAACAGAGGCCTGGATCTGTGTGGTATATTTGGGGCACCTCCCCATATACCATGCATGTTCATGGTCCCGTCCATATGCATGGCATAGTGCCTCAGCTGGGACGTGCGCCCCCTCACCCTGTCCATTTACACATCCCTCAATGCCCAGTTCAAATGTCACCTCCTCCATGAAGCTTTCCCTGGTATCATTAGTCAAATTAATTACGGCTCTTTTTGCACTCATTTTATTTTTCCTTTGGTGCTTCTATCCCTATAACTCATTTCAATCTGCCTTACGGTGTAGATAATTATTTGTTTCCCTCTACATTGTACATTACTTAAGGACAAGATCCATGACTTCATGATCATGAAGAGGTGATCATGAGTGGTGATAGCTTTACTCATCTCTGCATCCACCACCAGCCAACATAAGGCCTCATACCCTGCTTATGAGCAGTCAATGCTGTTGAATAGAATAGAAATGAAAGGGACCAGCGAGCTAAAGTAGAAGGTACATGTTGGAAGTATTGCTAGACAAAAGCCAATAAGCCTAGTGGAATCAAATTATGGCAATCATTCAATATTAGGATGCAGACGTCAGAGGCTATTCCCAGTGTAATGGCATTTTGGAGGGAGAAGACTTTCCGAGTTAGACAGACCAACTAAGATGTCACTTGAAGCAATAAACCAGGTGTGAGGAGGTGAAAGATAGTCACCCCAGGGAGGGACATGAAGGAAGAAACAAAGAGACTTGGCCATAAAAGATGGAGAAGTTCCAAATAGACACTGAACAGGATGGGTTTCTCCTAACATAAAAGTGCTCCTCATCTTTACATGAGTAGAGGGATCACTCCTGAGCATCCTCGTTCTCTAACCTGCCCCTGCCTCCCCCTAATGTGCTCACTCAAATTCCTACTGTCCTAATGCCCCAGTGGAAAGTGGGGAGGAAAAAGAAGAAAGAAAGAAAAGAATCAGAGGCAAGAGTTCCTCAGGTCTTCCAGGAGAACAAACCTGGGGTGGAACCAGTGCACAGGAATTCTTAAAGTGTCCTTTGGGACTCAGGACCATGGTGCTCTTGTCTCTCACTCTTTCTTTCCTATGAATCTTCTGATTTATGGAGATGTAAGCTACTCACCACATTCCCTAGGTCTCAGTTCTCAGATTCTCCTTCCAAAAAATAAGTGTGATCTTACTTCCCCCTTCACAGCTTTCCAGACGAACTAGATTGTGACCAACAGGTCTGTATAATCAAAGTATTCTTTCAATGGAACAGGATCCTGAATCAACCAAGATGTCCCAGTTTTTAAAAATATGCATTGAAATTGAAATCTCAGGGGGCAGGGCTCTCCAATAAGCAAGGACAGTCTCTCTGCTGACAAGTCAGCGTGGGCTTTACCGCGGAACTGAGAAAATGAGAAACCTTGCAGCCAATGCCTCTCAGAAAAAGGAAGTGCAGCTAATTTAAAATGTGATTTCTTAAAAAGCTGTAGAACACTCTAAACTACAGCCCACAAAAGAAGAGCTTGGCTGGGCCACCTCCGGAAACTGGGCATAGGGAGGAAGGAGCCTGACTGGTCCGGGCTGTGTCAACAGAGAGCACTTCTTAGGTTCCACCTGGAGGAAAGAAACAGCTGGGATATATTACCTCCCAGATTCAATGCTTTTCTACTGTTTGACTTTTCCCTAAATTTCCCTTAATTTGTATAATTTTCTCAAGCATAGTTAGTGACAGTCTCTGCTGGCCCTAAAATGAAGCTTGAAGAAGGAAACAACAGAAGAGGTGTAATGAGTGGTCACAAATATGGGCTCTGATGCTAGAGTGCCTGCGTCTGAATCCTGGTTTCCTACTCATGTGACCATGGGCAAGTTACTTTAACCTCTTTGTGCCTCAGTTTGCCCATCTGTAAAATGGGGAGAATAATAATTCTGACCTTATAGGGTTGATGTGGGGATTAAATGCCTGCACACGGTAAAGCTCTGGGTCATTGTATTAGATGTTCTTATAGGCCTGAAACCTCCATAAGATGCCAAACCAAACTTATGAAATAAGGTTCTTGCAACAGAAGTGTATCTGATATTATGCTAAATTAACGTTGGATATCAAACTTTTAAATCTCAATCCTCCTAACTCAATGTCTGTTCCTTCTATGATTTCACACGACACTCTAATTACCTGCTATATCTGTCTCCCCAACTAGGCTGAGAGAACTGGGATATGTCTGAATAATAATAATGCAAATGGAGAGCTCCTTGAGGGCAGGGAGCTTGTAACAATTATAGAGGGTTCACTTTGTAGACCAACTACTACACTAGATGCTTTATACATTATTGTCAATACTCACAACAACCCTGAAAAGTAGAAATTAATTCTTCTAGTTTACATTAAGGCCAAGGGAATAAATACCTTAGAAAAGTCAGGAAGCTTGGGAAGATGGGATTTGAACTCAAGACTTATTGTCAACAAAGGCCATCCACTTGCACTCTACCATGCTGCCTCTGTTTACCTGCTGTGGATTCCCAACACCTGGCACTCTGCCTCAGGTACAGCACACACCTGGCACTTTGCTTGACACATAATAGGTGGACCACAAATATTTGTTCAGTGAGTCTGTACATATAACAATATTTTAAAGACACTAAGAGCAGCTCCAAGTAAATGTATTTATATATTAATTCCATCGTTATCTGGATAACCACTCAACTTTTCTGTTGGAAACATCCATTAAAGAAGCTTGGGGAGAGCCCCCTCTGTCTGCATTTTGGGCAGAACTGGTTTCATAGCAAACAACAGATCCAGGTCATAAGCATTTCCGATGAGCTGTTACAAAACGAGAGAAACACAGCATAAATTTCCACTGTTAATAT